AGAGAGAGAGAGAGAGAGAGACCGGGAGACCGAGAGACAGACACAGAGAGAGAGAGAGAAAGAGAGAGAGAGAGAGAGAGAGAGAGAGAGAGAGAAGAGGTTATGGCGTGTGATTAGACAATGGAGGGAGAACACAAGTTACGGCCATAGCTGCTATACTCAACCGGTAATGTGTGCTTGAGTTCGATAAGAGTTTGCAATCTTCGCTTCCTTTCGGGTTTCAGCAGTGTGTGCAAATCAGATAACGGCACGGCTCACAAAAAAAAAAATGAAAAGAAGAGACAACGGCAAGTCTCAAGGCTGATCGACATTGATTGGTCAGTATCACGAAAAGGAAATTTACTATTTCAAGAAAGGAAAAAGGAAGAATACAACCTAAATTGGAAATTCCTATATGTTGCCAGTCCGGATTGTGAATCCCGGCCCCCTTATCTGATTGGACTGCTGACCGGGCTGCTAACTAGTATCCCGGCCCATCTGGATCCCGACCGATCGTCACCCACATGGTGACACGTGGCGTTTCCATTCTAGCAGCTGACGTGGCAAGAGCTCCTCGTCGTTCGCTACGATAGCAGCGGCAAGCATCTCGGCCATCCAGGCGTGATATATCAACCCTCGGGATCCCAACCCAATCAACATCCAGCACTGAGCCTCGGGCTCATCCAGGCAGCTCCTCCTCCCGTTCCTCTGTCTCTCCTCACCTCTCTCTCGTTCCTCTCTCTCTCCTCTCTCTTCTCTCTCCTCTGTTTCCTCTCTCTCCCTTCCCTCCTCTCTCCTCCTCACGGGATCTGCAATCCCCTCTCTATCGTCGTCGAGATCCCGTTGGCTTCGGCAATCCCGACTCGGACGACGTCGGAACGACTCATCATCATCATCATCATCATTGTCATCAGCCGCCGGATCATCCTCCACGTGGCGTGTGTGTGTGAGCAGGTAATCTGCTCGACCGATGACAGGCAGCCTGCCATGAGAAGATCGCCGTGTGGAAGCCCGTACTCCTGCTCGCACTCCCTCCACCGTCCATCTCTCGATTGAGGGATAAAGAGCTGCCATTTTCGCCATCAGCGTATCCAATAAGCGCGCCGAGTCTTCATCCTCTTCCTCCTCCTCCTCCTCCTCCTCCTCCTCCTCATCTTGATTACCTCCTCCTCCATCAATCTCCTTCCCATAAGCGCGCCGAGTCTTCCACTTCCACTCCTTCGTTGCTCCCACTACGATCTTGTCGGGACCCTGTGCGGACAACCATACCGACCCGACCAGACTCGGCGCGCTTATCGGATAGCCAGCCACGTGGCGTTCCGCCGTTCCTGCCGTACAGCATGGCACCCCATCTGCCTCTCCTATGGGATAACCAGCCACGTGAGGGCGTGCCGATCGCGACCGCTCCTCAGAAGCTGAAGCAGATGACACCAAGAACGGAGGAGAACGCCAAGAAGACGACGACGGCGGCGGCGGCGGCGGCGGAGGTCGTGGGGGCACCGCTGCTGCATGCCACGTGGACTCGGCGCGGGTGGCTCCCTGATGGGACACGTGTCCGAGTTTGGGTACATCGTCCGCGCAATCTGTTGGATTCAATCCAGGCACGGTTCCAGGCCCAGGTGATGGTGCAGATCGTGGGCCAGGCTGCGATTGCGATAGCGATACCGACGAGAGCTCAGCCGACCCGAGTGCCGCCGATGAGGAGGGAAGTCCCGACAATGCGTGCCCCGACTCTGACAGGACGAATGGCGACCGCGATCCAGACGGCTGTGATGATTCCGTCGATGGCGATTGCGATCCCGACGACGAAGGCCGTTTAGCCTCCCCTCCCCTTCCGTCCGATAGCCCACCTGACGGTCGTCCCGACGTAGGAAATGACGAAGCGGCGGCGGCGGCGGCGGCGGCTGCATCCGATGTGTCCACCGATGATGATGATGATGATGGGAGGGGGGATGAGGATGTGCAGAGCGTTGGCAGCCGTAGATCGAGAACCCTCCCTCGACAGAGGGAGAGGGGGAGTCGGTCCGCTATCTCAGGCAGAGCCATCGCGCCCGCTCCGGCGCAGACAACGACCACGTGGTAATTGCGCCGCCGCCGCCTTTCTTGTCTTGGTTCTTCTTTCCTCGCCGTCAGTAGTAGCTCCGTTAGAGAGGACACGTGGCGCTTGTAGAAGGCGACACGTGTCCCCGCGGACCCATTCGCGACGGCATCGGCAGCCGCGTAAATGCAGGATTGCCAAAGTGCGCGAAGATAGCGCTCTGGGTTCAGAGTCATCCCCTGCGGCACGTAGAGCGCCAACTTCCCCGGAGGTTCCGCGAGGCCGGGGAGCAGCCTCCGCGCTACGTCGGACTTTACCCAGAGCGCTCCGCTCCCGCTGCTGCCGCCGTCTCTTCCAATCTCGACCCCGACCACCGACTTCATCGCGACACCCTCCCCCGCCCGCTCCCCCCCCAGTATCCCCTCTGGAATTGCCGCTGCGAAGCGCTGGAAATCGGCGCAATGCTTCTCTGACTCCGCGCATCGGAGGATCCCTG